TCTTTGCACAAAGGAGGAGCGGTGGATTGTGAGGAAGGCCTTGTACGGTTTGGCCGAAAGTCCTGCAGCATGGGTGGAGTGGCGAGACCAACGTCTTCAAGGCATGTCTTGGGTGTCAAAAGATGGACAAGCAATGAGCTTTCAGAGGTCCAACGCAGACCCAAGTCTGTTCCTTATTATGGCGCAAAAGAAGCCGGAAGATGTAAGCAAGTTGGTGGGGACAATGGGTCTTTACGTGGATGATTTTTTGATGGCTGGGACTATGACAGTGCTCCGGGAAGCCTTGGAACAGATCAGGAAGGAGTGGAAAACTTCTGAACCCGAGTTCTGTGGTCCAGGCTGTGGTGATGGATTCCTGAAGTTTTTGGGTGTCCAAATCTGGTATCGAAATGGCAGCTTCTTTCTCAACCAGGAGGACTTCGTGAGAGATTTGCTGAACCGACGAGGGTATCAGATCGATGAAACTGGAAAAGGGAGTAACCTGCCAATGGTGAAAGAAACTCCAGGTGAAGAAGAGGAGGTAGATATTCCTTCCTTGCGAGCGGCTCAAGGTGCCGTAGGGGAGTTCCTCTGGGTGGCAATCAAAACTCGACCTGATTTGGCGTTCTGCGCGAGCCAGTTGTCTTTGTGGACATCCCGAAGGCCGCGATTTGTGGTTAAAAAGGCTGAGGAGGTTTTCCGATACCTTGCTGCAACTCCAACGTTAGGCCTGACGTTCGGAGCAATCGCAACATGCGAAAAAGAAAGAAATGAGGTGTTGCGTTATGGACGAGGCGTTAAGGTGGTGGAGTCCTACGCGGATGCCAGCTTTGCGGCAGGTGAAAATGAAAAGAGCCACTCAGGAGCAGTGGTGGTGTGGGGTGATTGTCCAGTGATGTGGGCAACACAAAGACAATCAACGGTGGCTTTAAGTGCGGCTGAAGCTGAATTACATGCGTCCATAGAGGGAGCAACGATGATTCAGTCGTGCACCCCTATAATTGCCGCTTTGGTTGGAACAGGTGAAGAATCACTGCAAAAAGTGCTGTATACAGATTCGGTTTCGACATGCTCAATCATTCAATATCCGGCTGGAAGCTGGAGGACAAGACACCTGAGAATTCGAGCAGCCGGTGTCAGGTCTCTGGTAGACCGTGGTTATATGGTGATCGCGCACCTTCGCGGTGAGTATATGATCGCTGACCTGTTGACCAAATTGATGAGTGGACAGGTGTATGCAAAGCAAAAGGCACTTTGGGGTCTCCGACTGTTGGTACAAGGGACTGACTTGAAGAGGGCCTCGCTTGCAATGGCGGTCATGATGGTGGCTGCATCTCTGCAAGGGATGGCAACTGGTGGCGAAGAAGTGTCAACTGCTGGTTTCTTTTGCTCAGAAGAAGGGGTGTGCAAGGTCGCCAACACATCTACGGTGATGGTTCTGGCTCAAGGTATTGAAATGGTTATCAACAATTCAGACCTTGTTGCGTATTTGGTGGCAGCAATTATACTCTGGGAGTTGGCATGGTGCCTCTTTCGGCAGCTGTATAAAAGGCTGTGGGTTAAGAAAGTGGTGGTTATTCCTGCGAGTGCCACTTTGTATACAACAGTGGGTGGGAACTGTATGCACGCAAGCAGTGACTGTGATGTTCTGCGATATTCACAGCCCAGGGCTAAGACGCTTTGTAAGCATTGCCTCAAGGACGGCTGGGTGGTGAATGCCGAGTTCCTTGGTGAGGAACGGGCCGCGGGAACGTGAATTTTTCAAGTGCGAGGTGATAAAATCCTCAATGGTAAAGGATTCGGCCAATGAGCTGAAGGTTCGTCCTGGATGACGTAAAACCATAATGTGCATTTCAAGCAGCTGGCTGCTGCCTAAATGGCGGTTTTTGGCCAAAGATCTGCACCTCCAATGTGTCCTAGGAAATTCTAGGACAGGGGGAGTGCGGAGCTGCAGTTGGTATTGTAGAAAGGAGTTGGTATTGGAAGTTGAAGGGTCAATGAACCCGGTAATCTTATGGCTCAAGGCTCAAGCCATGACCAAAGCGGTCGAAGGTTTCGTAAAAAGTGTGCCCTTGGTTTGGGGTCTTGTTGTTTGGTTGTTGGTTGTTCCAGGGGAATCAAGGGTTTCTGTTGGAGTTGACTGTTTTGTTCCCTGTCCTCCTTCGGTTGCCCCCCGAACCCTAAACCCTTTGGGCGTGGATCTTCTTTCGGGGAGTCTCTGGCTGAAAGCCACTCGGCTCCAAGCAATCATGGGCCCCAAGGTCGCCTGAACCCGCAAGAGCTTCATGGGGTAGGGTTTAGGGTTTAGGGTTTAGGGTTTAGGGCTTAGGGTTTGTTAGGGATCTTTAGTGTATAGGGTCTTTGTGGGTCTTCTAGCAGTGGCTCATTGATACACATGCAGATTGGTTCACTGATACACATTATTCTAATACACACAGACTTTGTATAGAGTAGTTCTATCCATGTCATATCCCTATGTTTACATACATATGTATCTAATATGTGTGTATATATATATGTACATATGTGTGTAATTCATCACAATCATATATAAATACATACAAATTAGAATATATACATATATGTTCGTTTGTTCATTTATTTATATATATATATATTCACGTGTGCGCATGTGCAGCAAGATGCAAGAAAAAACAATTGCCGTGGTAATACTCATCCGCCTCCTAGGAGACGGAGGACTTGCTACGCCACGCAGTACCGAAGGTATGGGCAGCATAGCGTTTCCCGACAAGTGTTCCAACCCTTCGGTTGCTCCTGGCTTTTGTCCCTTTCTCGTTGTTGTTTTGCCCGTTCCACACGGTGGTCGAAGCTTTGCTGACAGGGCACAGGCATGACGTTGCTCTGCCGGGCAATGTCACATGACGATGTTGCTAGTTTCTCAGACTGCCGCGTCATAGTTGCTTCACTTTCCCCGCTTAATCTTGAGCCCTGAGAGTTCTGTTCATTCTGCTACATGTAGCGTTGCCCAATTGTCACGCACAGTGACTGCATGCTGTAGACGTTTTGCCGGTTCTTCAGGAACTTCTTCTTTGCTCAGAGCCAGGCTCCTTTTTCGCACATGAGTTGGGAGGACAAAGACTGGGATGCTTTGTGCACTGGCTTGGCTGGGCAGGGACTGAGCCGTTGCCATAAGATCTGGTTCTACGTCCAGCTGGCGTGCTGGAGCTTTGTTGCCTGCCATGCTCTTCATGCTGCGAGCAAGTGGGATGAGAATTGGGGGGAGGTGCACGAGGATAATCAATGGGCTGTTGACCTTGGCTGTGTCAAGACATTAGGCTTCATGATTGTAGACCTCCTGGCTGTCCTTGTACTTTGGCGCGGTCGCAATGCCTACCCAGACTTCGAAGAGTGGAAGGAAAGCTCGAGCTCGGATCTGGATGAAAAGAGTGAAGCTGCTCGTGGACTGTCGAAGGCGGCGAGGAACTTGGTGGGTCTGGGCTGCTTCTTATGCCTGTCTCAAGCAATTCATTATCAAGCGTATCCCAGTGGAACGCTGTCCAATGTCGTTGGCCAGCGTTCCACTGAGATACGCTTGACAAGTGGAGAGCTAATCCATTTACAGGACCTGTGGCCTTGCAGCAAACGCAATGCTGGTGATTTGCAGCCCAGGCCTGGTTTGTGCCGTGTATCCGGCATTGGCTGGTAGACAGCATGCAGACGTGCTCGTGCGGAGCTTTCGTGACAAGTTCACCAAGAGCATCGACGAGCATCGGGGCAAGCAGTCCTTCATGGATTGGTATGCGAAGATGATGCAGTACATAGAGGTACGACAAAAGGTTAAGGAGCTGTCTGCACGGCAGTCTCCTGTGGTTCAGGTTTGGCTATGAGCATTCGGCTTGTATGCAGCTATGCTTGGTGTTTCCATTTGGATATGGAAAGACAAGACTGCCGAGGAGCCAAAGCGGGCTGTGTTCATAACTCGCCTCTTGGCTTTCGCCGCAGCGGTCATCTTTCTCCATGTCTATTTTGCCTTTGCCAGTTTCTCGGCGAGTTTTCAGGGCCTACGAGAGAAGAGACGTCATCGACCTTCTCTACTACCACATCTCCGGCGAGGAAGGGGAGGAAGACCACAGGAAGCGAGATGAGGAAATCGAAAAGTCAAAGGAGGCCGTGCATTACTTCCAAAGCCATCCTATTTGTTGGACAGTCGAACCTTGGCCGGGCTTCACTGTTGAACTTAGCAATTGGAGAGGCCGTTTCTTTTCTTTCTCCTTTATCGGCAACATCACCGTTAGCGCGCTGCCCCACTTGGCCCAGGCGCTCCGGTGGTGGTGTTACCAAGACAACTCTGCAGCGTTCGCAGTCGGCCACCTTGGAGCACCCTCACGAGGTCGAGAGAACTTTGCTGGAACAGGAAACCTACAGAATCAATCAGAAGATCTGGCATCGTTGTTGCCTCCTTGTGTGCATGCTTGGTGTGGCCTTCTTCCTCTGGCCCTTGCTCTTGGTGGCCGCAGGCGCTCCAGGAGCAAGCGCATATGACCACCTCTTGAGCAGGTTGCCACAACCGGCAGCAAGGGCTACTTTTCAAAGTAGCTGCACAGTTTTGCAGGAGCATCGTGAGCCCAGAGGTCGTGTGCGGCATCTCCAGAGGTCAGCTGTGAGCATATGTAAAGCAGGCGTCATGCGGGGTTTAGGGTTTAGGGTTTAGGGTTCAGGGTTTAGGGTTTAGGGTTTAGGGTTTAGGGTTCAGGGTTCAGGGTTCAGGGTTCAGGGTTCAGGGTTCAGGGTTTATTTGGCCTCTTTTTTTGGGGCTTAGCGGTGAAGGGTGAAACCGGAGCTTGCGAGGGTTTAAGATTTGGTCTGCGGGTGTAAGGTTGAATTTGGTTTGAGGGCTTAGGGCAGAAGCTTCAAGTAGGGCCGCTGTTGAGGGTAAACCCTAAACCTTCAACTCCCAAACCCTAAACCCCAAACCCTAAGCCCTAAACCCCAAACCCTAAACCCCAAACCCCTAACCCTAAACCCTAAACCCTAAACCCTGCCACCATGAAGACTGGCAGGCTGTGCTGGGCGGGGTGATGTCCACGCAGTTCTCCCCGGGCGTCAGGGGCCTGAGAGGGATGGTTTAGGGTTTAGGGTTTAGGGTTTAGGGTTTAGGGTTTAGGGTTTAGGGTTTAGGGTTTAGGGTTTAGGGTTTAGGGTTGACGTGTGTACGTGTGTGTGTGTGTGTGTGTGTTGATAGATTTACAGTTGGGTTTGCCGGTTTATAGGGTTTGTAGGGTTTATAGGGTTTATAGGGTTTATAGGGTTTATAGGGTTTATAGGGTTTAGGGTTGAGGAGGCGGAGGCTCCTTGCTTGCCTAGCTTTAGCAAGGGCGCATGGGGGTTGTTCAAAAACACGGCCTGAAAAGTTGTAGTACCACTCCGTTGGCAGGGCAGAAACTAGTCGCGGTGGGGCCAAGGTCCTACATGGCGCGACCTGGACAGCTGGAGACTTACGAATCCTCGGTTTAGGGTACAGGGTTTAGGGTTTAGGGTTTAGGGTTTAGGGTTTAGGGTTTAGGGTTGACGTCATCCCTTGTCCTACAACTCCCCGCCCCCGAAAACTGTGTTTTTTTAATCATATGCGAACCCATAAGATGATGTATCCGAGTGGAGGGGTCAGGGCCTCGAACCAACCCTGATTCTTCATGAACCACCAGCAGAAGGCCAACGTGCGCGTCGATCTGCATCATGGGGGGCCCTGTTGAGTTGAGCCCGGTTTTCGGGCCAGGACGCCCTATGGTTTCGAGCTTGGGTTTAGGGATTTTGAACCCTAAGCCCCCTAAACCCTAAACCCTAAACCCTAAACCCTAAGCCCCCAAACACTTCCCAGGTTCCATGCGAGCCGATCAACTGGGACTACGTCGGCAACATGCAGATGCGACTCGGCATCCAATTGGGTCTGTTTCTTAAAGGTTCGTGTCCTCTATGTAGGGTTTAGGGTTGTGCTCGTAGGGTTTATAGTGTTTATAGGGTTTATAGGATTTATAGGGTTTGTGGGGTTTGCAGGGTTTACGGGGTTTATAGGGTATAGGGTTTAAGGCGTAGGGCTGGGCCTTAGGTTGTTTTTTCGTTGCTGTGCGTGCGGTGCACTGAGGAGCTGCTACCGTGGACACGTGCGTCCGTGGCTCGGGCATAGTAGCTGATGCCTTCGTCATCTGCACGGGATCATCTCTCCGCAACCCTGAACCCTAAACCCTAAACCCTAAACCCTAAACCCTAAACCCTAAAGATGTATCTCAGAGCAGCATCTCAACCCCTGAGGGCCCAAGACCCCAGTATTTAAGGCTTTCCATCTGTTGTGGGCCCCAAACACCTTGTTATTTGGGGTGGCCCTTAGGGAACAGGAGCACTACAATTCGGGGAGCAGATGCATGTCCTCATATCCTGGTATCCTCTCATCAACGGTTTCGAAATCCTAAACCCTAAATCCTAAACCCTGAACCCTAAACCCTAAACCCTGAACCTCAGAGACCCTCAACATCCCTACAATGCCCTGAACCTTCATCAACCCCAAGCGCTCAGAATATCCCTTAGCCCCCTTATAAGGCAAAAGCCTACTTACTGGTTCTTAGTAGGGAATTAAATTAGGGCATCATAGATACTAGGAACCTAAACCCCATGTTATCCTTCAAGGAAGTATACCCCAGAGCCTAAACCCCCTAAAGGCCCTGAACCCTAAACTCCCTGAACCCCTAAAACTCCCTAAAGCCCCATAAACTCCCTAAACCCTCAACTCCCCCAAAAGCCCTTAAACAAACATAATAACATAAAATCGAGTTATAAAAAAAAAAAGCAAACATCGAAAGCCTGCTAGGCAAGTAGAAACAAGTAAGGCGCCGACAACTCCACCTGCATCCTCGTGGAGCTGGGTTGCCAGCCATCAGGCAAAAGCTTCGGGTTCAGGGTTTGGGGCTTAGGGTTTAGGATTTCAGAGTTCAGGGTTCAGAGTTCAGGGTTTAGGGTTTAGGGTTTAGGGTTTAGGAGAGAAGCTATGTTGCTGAGTTTTTGATGGCAACCTCTAGCCTACTCTTGAGGTCTTAAAGTCTTTACTGGGACCGTATTTTCTAGTATTTCGGGCTTAGTTCCCTTATCAGCCCCATTCAAGCCAAAAAGAGTGCCCTTTTTCTCCCAGGTTACTCATGGGTCGAGTATAGATACGAGACGTTACGGCCTCAGTTATGATACTTATCAGCCAGTTCAGGACCCTTATAGCTCTACCAATAGCTAGGGGGCCCCTACTGGTAGTAAACCCTAAACCCCAAACCCTAAATCCTGTCAACCCCGTCAAGCTATTTGTAATGCCCCGCCCCACCCCCAAAGTTTCTGCTAGGTCAGATTTCAAGCCGAGAAGGGTTTATGGTTTAGAATGCACAAGCCTTGCAGGGGCTTGCTCAGGGGGTTTAGGGTTTTAGGGCTCTAGTGCGTTGAGGCTTTGTAGGGTTAAGACAGGATGTGCTTTTGGTGTGCAAGGGATCCATCTATGAAAGGTATAGCTACGAACAGCCCCTGATCTAGGGACCCAATCCCATCCCCAAAACAGGAGCATGAGGGAAAGTCCAAAAGACTTCCGTAAAGGGCCCCAAGGGTCCCCAAAGCCCCAACCCCCACCCCGCCCTCCCCCCCCCAAAAAACAAAATGAATAAATAAAAAACCAAGGCCCCAAACCGCTAAAAACACGAACCCCCCCGCTCACCGCTTGCCCCCATCCCACCCACCTTGCAGGCCTTGGGGGCAACATCACCCTGGGCAATTACACCGTGGTGCGCTCCCCAGTCTGAGGGTCAGGGATGAGTCTTTGGGCGTGCCCAAGCCCGGCACCTCGCGTGGCTGTAGGATACATTTTTTGTTTGTTTCTTTGGGGGGGAACAGTGGTTATCATGCTTTGTGGCAACAGTTAAAGATTTAAGAGTTCAAGCGGTGGGGCGGGCAGCATATAGAATGAATCTCTGTCCAAGTCTGTGCCCTTCAGCCCCACTCAGATGATGTACCCAGGGTTAGGGTTAACGGGTTTGGGCCTAAGAAGCCTTCCGCCAGCGGGGCATGCAGACCTTCGTGCAGTTGAGGGCGCCCATGTGGGCTTGGGAGTTTGCTCATCTACCGCACCGCAACCTTGAAATCAATTTCCGACGGCCGCCAATTACTGGCAGCCCCTAGAAGCAATGCGGCCCAGACGCCTCAGACTCCATTCCTGCAAGCCATTCCTGCAAGCAGCCTCAAGGGGCTCGCGCAAAGTATGGAGGGTTTCTGGCCATTAGTTATGATGCGTGCTGCCCTAAACCCTAAACCCTAAACCCTAAACCCTAAACCCTAAACCCTAAACCCTAAACCCTAAACCCTAAACCCTAAACCCTAAACCCTAAACCCTAAACCCTAAACCCTAAACCTAAACCCTAAACCGACCCTGAGCTCCTGTACCTAAGGACCTGCGGCCCGCTGTGGGCGTGTCCAAGGGCGAGACCTTCCTGGTCGCAGCGACCTCAGCAGAAAGGATTCCTTGGTAGCCCAGTGGTTTAGGGTATAGGGTTCAGGGTTTCGGGTTTAGGGTTTAGGGTCTAGGGTTTAGGGTGGGTTCCGTTATAAGATCGGCAGTCAACAAAAAAGGTACCCTTATTCTTATCTGGCTCCTGGGCTGCTAAGGTTTAAGCTTCTTGTTGCCACGAGAAGGCGACTTTTGCGATGTGTCCACGGTATGGTGTCTTAGCCCTAAACCCTAAGCCCTAAACCCTAAACCCTAAACCCTAAAAAAAACCTTAAGTTACCTGACTCAAACGTTCCCGTTCAGCAGCCCAGTAGACGGTGGGGTGGACAGTCAGGGGGGTCCGGAGATCAACCGTGCAGCCCAGAAAAGCTAGCAGTTCAAGCACCCCCGGACGCTAGCTTCTTGGTAGCCCTTTGGTACTACCTTTTTTTTGGGTTCTGGGTTCCCTGATAAAGTAACCAACCAAAAAAGGCGTGCCCTTATTTTAATATGGTTACCGGTTTAGGGTTTAGGGCTTAGGGCTTAGGGTTTAGGGTTTAGGGTTTAGGGTCCGGGCTACTAAGGCTTCGTCAATCAGCACACCAAAGTGTACCCTGCGACCCTAACATCCAAGAGAATCAAGCCTAGAGGGTCCTGCTTAAAGACCCCGACCCTAACTCTAAACCCTAAACCCTGAACCCTGAACCCTAAACCCGAAGCTTCAACTTTCCGGCCGAAATCGCCACTCTGAAGCCCTAGGCCCCAGAAGCCCTGAAGTGTTGGGATTCTAACCCTTCAATCCCTCTCTTCCGAAGCCCCGAAACCCTGGATCCTAACCCCTAACCCTAGATCCCACAATCCCTAAACCCCAAACCCTCCAACCCCCCAAACCCTAAACAGTAAACCCAGTTTCCCTGAGGACTGCGCTGCGCAGACGAACCGAAAGTACGCAGGGCGCCAAGCCATCTAGAGCTCGTTGAGGGGGTTCAGGGTTTAGGGTGCAGGGTTTTCGGGTTCAAAGGGTTTACAGGGTTTATATGGTTTCGGGCTTCCGAGGTTCAGAGGGTTTAGACGCTTTCCGGACGTTTTGGGCTTTTGGGGCTCAAGGGGCTGCAGGGTTCAGGGATTTTGTGGGGGGTTAGGGTTCGTAGGGTCGTAGGGTTTGGGCTGTTTGGGGTTTTGGCTGTTTTCCGGGTTCCATGGGCTTACGGTTTATGGGATTGCTTGCCATTGGTTTGTGTTGGATATTCCCCCACTTGGTAGCCCAGTGGTACCCCTTACCCTTTTTTTTTTGCTCAAGGGTTCCCCAGTAAAGTAACCAACCAAAAAAAGGGTGCCCTTATTGTAATATGGCTACAGGGCTACCAAGCCCACCCTCGTTCTGGGAATGTTGGGTTTCAAGTCAGTCATGCTCCTCGCTTCCTCGCCCGGTGTGGCGGACCTTGTGCCCACCCCCAAAGAAGCCCAGTAAACCCTAAACCCCAAACCGCAAACCCTACTGGCGTGCCCATTCAGAGGAGCTGCTGCAAGGCCGGGACTCAGCGGGTGGCTTCATAGGCTGCTCGATCACGGGAAGTCCCTTAGATGTACCTTGTTCTACGATAAAGACTTAGGAGTTTACTCCCTCGTACTCCCTAAGCTTCCCTACGGTTCCCTAGGTGCCGACCCCATGAACCTCCCCTCCCTTAAGAACTTAAAGAAAAAGTGAAGGGACTATCCCAGGGTTTAGGGTTTAGGGTTTAGGGTTTAGGGCTAGAAACCTTAAACCCCACGTACCCCCATCTCCCCCTCAGGTCGGGGAGGTCACAGTGACCTGCGGCCGCCTGGGAAGCTACGCCAGTGGGGAGCTGAGTCAGCCGCAAGGTTTGGGGTGTCATAGGGACCATATGAACCCCAAAATTGGGGCCAGATACCCTATAAATACTACTATAATCCTTATTCAGGTACATGAACCATACACCCTTTTAAGGTTCATTTGGTTTTTAAGGTGTCGGGACTGTGGATTTAGGGATTTGGGAGGTTGACGAGGTTCACGGGCTTAGTTGGTTGATCCTAGTTGTGTCTCTTTGTGCCCCTTTGGACTTTCGTAGTTTTTTCCCGAAGACCAAGCGTCTGCCGCTTTAGGGTTGAAGGTCCCCCAACCCTTCAACTCGAGTCTGGATTTGGGTTGCGGGCCCCCCCCCCCCCCCCGCCCAAGGCATGAAGGTTACCCAACGCAACATCCTTCGCCCGAAATCCCACCCAGCCCAAAATCGCCCAGGAAACAAAGGAAAAGTCAGGGTTGAGGGCTTATATGACGTTCGAGGTGCCACCGCGTGCAGCACGTTCACCCCTGCCTGCTTCAGTACTTCTGTCTGGGCCCTTCAAAGTCGATCGTCCACCCGTAAGAGAATGACAAGAACATGATGGTCGGATATGAATACTGGTATCTTCACACTTCTACCCTATAAGTACTACTAGAATAATCCCTTTTAAGGTACATGAACCATACACCCTTTTAAGGTTCATTTTGGTTCTTAAGGTATAGGGACTGTGGATTTAGGGGTAGAGGTTATTGCTAGTATGAGCCCACCTTGAATCCAAGGAGCAAAGGTGCGAACCCTGAGCCGGTCTGGAGGAAACAGCCTTCGGCATAACAACCCTAAACCCTAAACCCTAAACCTTAAACCCTAAGAAACAACCCAGACCCTTGCAAAGATCCAAAAAATAGATCCCCAAAGTACTATAGGGGTCGGATTTTTTTGCTAGTGGCGTTCTCTTCTGGTCCCTTTGTAACTATGCTCTTCTCATGATTCAGGGCCCTCTAGTAGGCCACACGTTGAGCCCAAAGCCTCCGGAATCCAAGGGGCAATAATCTGGTTTAGGGTTTAGGGTTTAGGGTTTAGGATTTAGGGTTTAGGGTTTAGGGTTTAGGGTTTAGGGTTTAGGGTTTAGGGTTTAGGGTTTAGGGTTTAGGGTTTAGGGTTTGGAGGAAGCCCTGAGTCGAAAGCCCGAAGTCCCTTCCAGGCGTGGAGAACGGTTGCGAGCCCCGCTCCTGTGTGGGAGGCCAGAACCCTCAACCCCTGGACCCCTAATTAAACCCTAAACCCTCAACCCTAAACCCAAAGAACCCTAAAGACCCTAAACCCTAAACCCATATAGGGGTTTCACGACAACAAGCAACCCCGACCCAAATAATTAGTGGGATCCGCTTACAAAAAGGACCCCCCCCCATTTCCGATTCTCGTAAACCCGCACATGGTTTCACAAGTTGCTTGGGGGGCCTAAGGATCAGGGTCCACGGATTCGAGTCACCGGAGTCGAGAGCTCTTCGAAATGGCATGGGGCTTTGCGGAGGGGTTAGGGCGTGGGGGGTGAGGGGGGGTGAAGGGGGCGGGGGGCGGGGTAGACCTTCCTCACCCATCCTCTTCTGGGGAGTGTGTTCCTTGGGCCAGCTATCCCCTAGGCAGACCCTCGGAAAAAAATTACATTTTCCCTTGTTGGGTTGAAGAGGCTCATATTTACGAACTTTTGTTCAGAGGGTTTTTAAGGGTCATCCTCGTCCCTCTTGCATGTGCGGAACCTTACTTGCACAGCCTGCTGGCCCGGCGCATGTCATCAGCGCAACTCCTAGGGTCGAACATGTGAGCATAATCTAAGAGTAGTTTCATGGTCCGTTAATGTAGTCCCCGACCTCCTTTAAAGGGTTCGGAGGTATGGGCCCTTGGGTTGTATAGGGGAAGAAAGGGTTCCCCTGTTAGGGGCCCTAAGACATCAAGCCTAGAATCTGGAGAACCCAAGCATGCGAACCAGGTGCAGCGCTGGCCGTGCAGACCCAGTACGTGACTGGGTCGGTGATGCCCGGCACTCTGCTTGATACACTCCCTCACCCGATGACATCTGATGACCGTGCCTGCCGACCCTCCCAAAACCTCACAGCCCTACACGGTGGCCTTTGCTTCATCAGTTTACAGGTCTTCTGACATGGCGCACTTGCAATCCGACCACGTCATGTGCGACAACGTCAGCGAGGCTGCCACTTGCCACTCCGAAGCAGGGTGGTCGATGATGTGGGACCTGGTCCCACATCCTTAAACCCTAAACCCTAAACCCTAAACCCTAAACCCTAAAGCAGGCTTTCGTCACGCTACTGTTGGCAGTTGTAATCAGGCAAGATGGCCTTGAACTCGAAGCTAAGCTCGAAGTACTGCATCGTATGCCCGGACCCCACCGCAAGAGGAAGCGCAAGCCCGCATTCCGCCTGAAAAGAGCGTGCTGAGCTCGCGAGGCTGGGCTGAAAGCCCAGAAGACGCCCCCACTTAGCATCCAGGGCCTAGGCTGACGTTTAGGGGTTTAGGGGGTTTATTTGGGGTTTAGGGTTTAGGGTTTAGGGTTTAGGGTTTAGGGCCTAGGCTGACCTGGAACCCACCTGAACCTGCAAGTGACCCTAAACCCTAAACCCTAAACCCTAAACCCTAAACCCACGAGCCGGCAAAGGGGCAAGCCCGACTCAATCCGCCGCAGGTGCTCCGAGGCGTTGGGCCCAGCTTGGGCTTGCCTTTAGGGTTTAGGGTTTAGGGTTTAGGGTTTAGGGTTCAGGGTTCAGCGTTTAGGGTTTAGGTACGACAGCTTCCGAAGCTGTGTGCTGGAAGTTCATATATTGCGGTTTAGGGTTTAGGGTTTAGGGTTTAGGGTTTTGGGTTGCCTGAGCAACTACACAAGCTGTTCACAAAGTCCTAGCACTGCAGAGACACATGAGGGTTCAGCATTGAGGCTTTCGGCGACACAGCACTTGAGGTAAGGCGTCGGGGCCGCAGTAGACCCAGCTCGTGTCTTGTGTTGCTGAGGTGACATACACATCACTTGCGACTATGGCGACTTCCAGCTGTCGTACCACCCTTGGTGCTCGCTTGCCTCATGCGACACCCCTCTTTGGTTGCGAGGGGAGGGGGTGGGGATCCAAGGGATAAGTCCTGCTTGGTATCCTAAAGGAATACACTTAAAAGACGGGCCCTCACATCAGCACCCCCAGGTTGAATGAAAAGCGAGCACACAAGACCCAAAGAATGAAAGAACACTGTCACAAGGAAGGACTTCTACATGAAGGAGGAAGAGCATCTATGAACGACTACCGAAGAAGGAGCGGACAAAGACTAATTAAGATTGAACGAAAACAAGTCACGAGACATCCTAAACCCTAGGCCCTAAACCCGAAAGCCCAAACCCTAGCGCGGACCCTAAACCCTAAAATCTGAGGCGCATCCTAATAACATCCTTCTCATGGCCCGAAACATGCCAAGACCTTCTCCTATTTCCAGAGCACCCTCGGGCCGAAACCCTAAACCGCTTGCTGGCTTAGGGGTCAGATTAGGGTTTCGGGTTTAGGGTTTAGGAGTACTTGAATCAAGCCCCAAACCCAAGAAGCTGCAGGCACTCGTGCTACTCGGTCTGTTTGCCATCTCGTCCGGGACAGGCCAAGGGGGCTAGAGCTGCAGCTTCCTTCGATAGGGTTTAGGGCTTAGGATTTGGGATTTATAGTGTTTAGGGTTTAGGGCTTAGGGCTTAGGGCTTAGGGCGTAGGACATGACAGCCTAAAACCCGTATACTTCCCTTCCTTGAGTCTTACGTGCAGGCAACTGTGGGCGGCAAGGTATATGATGTCATCGCTCCGGAGGCCAAGAGGGATGGTTTTAGGGAATAGAGCTTGAAGAGGTACGGAGAGATTGTAGGGCACAGTGACGGCCCTGGATAAGAAACGTCGATTTTCTCAATCCATTTCTGCCCTCACACCCACGCCTGCCCCCCTCAAGCTACAATCCGGGCAGGTCCCCACCCACCAAAAAAAAATCCAGCCCCTCAGTTGTTCAGATCCTTGCGCTTGCGCACAAACACGATTGTTAGTACCGTTAGCACTTGCTTTCTCTCTCAATACTTTTCTCTCGCAGTTGTTTACTCTTTTGTGGTATTCTGCTTGAATACTTCTAGAGCCACGATGACATTAGAAACCGTTTGCCCAGTGTGACATGAGGGTTTCCGACAATACGAGGCCCCGTTTTATACCCCGAAATCACCCTGTTTATTAAATTTATAGGAGCCTCCAACGAGGCGTTATCACCCAAGACCCAAAACCCTTTTTTTAATGGAACCCCCCCCCCCCCCTGGTATGAAGAAGTGCCATTCTGACCTTGACCCCCAAAGCCCTCAAAGCCTTAAAAAGACCCTAAACCCTAAGCCCTCATCCTCTTGCAGAGGTCTTGGCCTCACCCTAAACCCTAAACCCTAAACCCTAAACCCTAAACCCTAAACCCTAAACCCTAGACCCCTCATCCCCTGGCAGGTCCTAGCCTCCGGCAAAGGCTACTTCCTGCCCTGCACTGACTTTGTGGCGAACTACAGCGGAACCGCCCGGGATGCCCAGGAGGTTTGAGGGTTTTAGGGTTTAGGGTTTTAGGGTTTTTTAAGGGTTTTTTAGGGTGTTGTTTTAGGGTCTTTTAGGTTTTTTTTAGGTTTTTTTGGGGGTTTTTTAGGGTTTTTTAGTGGTTTCTTCGGGTTTTGGGGTCCGCCCGGGATCCCAGGAGGCGATGTAGGTTTGGGAGTTTTGGGTTTAGGGGTTTAGGGGTTTGGGGTTTAGGGTTTAGGGTTTAGGGTTTAGGGGTTTCGGGTTTTAGGGTTTGAGTGTTTTAGGGTTTTGGGGTTTTAGGGTTCTAGGATTCTAGGGGTTCTAGGGGTTCTAGGGGTTTTAGGGTTCTAGGATTCTCGGGTTTCGGGTTTGCGGAGTTTTGGGTTCAGGGTCAGGGAGTTGATGGATGTTCAGGTTCGGCTTGAGGAGTTTGCAGCTTTTGCCTTTCTTGTGTGCCGCAACCCCTCAAAACCCAAGCCACTTTTCTCCCTAGAAAGCTCGGCCGGCCTCGTCGACTGCACACCCCAAGCCCTAGCCCTAAACCCTAAATCCCAAACCCTAAACCCTGAACCCTAAACCCGAAACGCCTAAGCCACCAAGAAAGTCCCAACCCTCAAGCCGACCAAAGTCCCCGCCCGAAGCCTCTCGAAATCGACGGTTGGAACCATGGGCCCTTAGTATGGTCCCAATACCTTTTTGTTTCTAGGGATCCGAAGTATGGGCCCTTATTTTTAATATATAGTGTGTATAAGGGATATATAGCAAGGGACCCGAATTAAGGGTGCAGGGTTGAGGGTTTAGGGTTTAGGGCCCTACTTGGAATCCTAGGACCTAAGCCCTGAGGTCAACATCTCTTGCTCGGCCTCCGACTTGCTCGCAGACACTTCCGACTGCCAGTCTTCACCTCAGGCTTGGAATGTTGATACTAGCAGTCCTTAATCGGGATTTAAACCCTAAACCCTAAACCCTAAACCCTAAACCCTAAACCCTAAACCCTAAACCCTAAACCCTAAACCCTAAACCCTAAACCCTAAACCCTAAACCCTAACATAGGGGGCACTAGAATCCCTATCAAGGACTGCTAGTATAAGGAGGGAGCATCCCAACCTTAGGCTGTTTGCCCTCAGCAGCTGCGCTTCGAGAAGCCCCGGGATGCTGAAGTAGCTTTAGGGCTCATGGGTTTAGGGTTTAGGGTTTAGGGTTTAGGGTTTAGGGTTTAGGGTTTAGGGTTTAGGGTTTAGGGTTTAGGGTTTAGGGTTTAGGGTTTAGGGTTTAGGGTTTAGTTTAGGGTTTAGAGGGTTGATAGGGTTGGTAGGCTTTGGAGGGTTTATAGGGCTTTGTTGGGGCTTATAGGGTTTTAGGGTTTCTAGGGATTTCTGGTTTACAGGGCTTTAGGGTTGAGGGTGTGGGGTGCAGTTCGCGCAGGGGTTTTGCTGGCAGGTGGGTGGTTACATTTCGGCGCCGCAAGCCTCCGGCCAAAACGGGCACCTAGCAACCCCTAAACCCTAAACCCTAAACCCTGAATCCTGAACCCTAAACCCTAAACCCTAAACCCTAAACCCCACCGCGGTCCCGCCCAGGCCTTACCCATGCCAAGATGAGATCCGCAACGTGAGCCATGCAGGCAGGGATGTCCATGCCTTGCTCCCCCCCTAATTCTAGGGTTTAGGGTTTAGGGTTTAGGATTTAGGGTTTAGGGTTCAGGGTTTAGGGTTGACCCCCCGCTGCTGCTTTGTTTGAAATAGCACATGATACTATGGTGACTTCTCTAAGTTAGGGTCTCTTCTTGTGTACCGTAAATCAGAGGGGTCGCCTTACAATAAGGACCCGACAAAGGAAAATAATTTGGAGAAGCGACCATGTAATATTAGTCAAAGACGATACCTTTGTTGCCCTCAGAAGGATGAATATGTGTGGTTTTGCGGGGGGCCTTAAGCAAATAGCCAGAACCCTGAAATCCTTTTTGTTTTGGGGCGGGGGGGCCTTAAGCAAATAACAAGGACCCTAACATCCTAAAACGGCCCAGAAAGCCAGCCAGCCAGGCCTGGACATCACCTTGCGCCTGGCGGGCGCCAACTTGGGTGCGGCGCTGAGTTAGGGTTTAGGGCTTAGGGCTTAGGGTTTAGGGCTTAGGGTCCCTTTTGGGATCCTGCAAAGGACCCAAAAACAGAACGCTATGTCTTTAAGTGTATATGGGTTTAAGGTTTGAGCTGAAGTCGGGTTTAGGGCTGCGCGCTGGGTTCCTTATTGGGGTCCTTATTATAAGGGTGACGTACTATCTATATATATATATATATATATATATATATATAGGACCCAAGAAGGTGCCCGAATTGAGAGAACTAATTTTGAGAACTATCCATATGTTTTTCATTCGACAAAACGTTGGTGGGTGTATGTAGGGCTCCTTCGAAAAAAGGTGAGTGCAGACGTGAGGGGAGGGGGGTCCTTTTGGGATACTGTTGAGAGAAGACGAGGGCATGCCGGGGTTCGGGTCTGGGGATGGGGAGGGGGACTTTGCAGTCGCAAGGTTTAGGGCGCTTAGGGCCTCAGGGTGGAGGGTTTAGGGCTGAGTGGGTTCAGCTGCCGAAGGCCCTCGGGTTCAAAAGCGGCCCCCCTTGTATCGTGAGGGCTATCCCCTTCAGCCGGCCTTGGGCAGCCATGACTTGCTTTCCATGCGCACGTCCGGTGTCATGTTCTACGGCCCTAAACCCTAAACCCGAAACCTTGCGGTTCGGCTGCAACTCAGTGAGTCAGGTACGGACTCTCCTACGCCCAGCGGATACCAGGCCCAGCAGCAAGCTTGATCTTGCTCGATGATCTTGAGGGTCTGGGAATTTTGGGGTTTAGCGTCTAGGGTTGAGCAAGTTGGTGGCTTAAAGCCCCTCCAGGGCAAAGGGTGCCTGCAAGGGCGTTGCTCCACCTCCAGTTCAAACAGCGACTTGGCAAGTCCATGCGGTTTTTCAGGTGCTCCAACTCGGGTTCCCTCAGTCCCCAAGCCCTTTAGGGCTTAGGGCTTAGGGTTTAGGGGTTAGGGCTTAGGGTTTAGGGCTTAGGGTTTAGGGTTCACGGTTTAGGGTTTAGGGCTTAGGGACCCCTAAACTCTACCCCCTCGACCCTTCGGGTACCTTAAGCCCTCAAACCCTCAAACCCTCAAACCCTTAAACCCTTAAACCCTTAAACCCTTAAACCCTTAAACCCTTAAACCCTTAAACCCTTAAACCCTTAAACCCTTAAACCCTTGAACCCTTAAACCCTTAAACCCTTAAACCCTCAAACCCTTAAACCCTTGAACCCTTGAGCCCTAAACCGCCCTAGGGTTTGGTGTCCCGATTCCTGCCAGGGCATCGGGCAGTGCAGCACTTTGGACGAGATGTTGGTGGGCACGTGCGCTTCTCAACTCTTCTTCGCTTCGCTTGTTCAGGATGTAGTTCTCAAAGCATTCTCTTCGTGGCTTTGCGTAGGGCGTAGGGCACTCGAAACTAGGGCC